ATATTAATTTTATATTATATTATTGGATAATGCTATGTGTACCCCCATCGTTACACCCTCTACTACACACCTTACTTTTCGTTATTTTTCTGTTAACTCCTAGATCCACCCAACGTAGTCCCTTCTTCCTTTCTCTCTTTTCTTAGAATCTCAGAGGTTACGATTAGTGCAATCAAAACCTGCAATTGCCCCTAATAAAACTTGCAATTTCATCCTGTCATTTTCTTTTTCTCTTTATCCTTCCATCAACACCAGATCGAGACATTTTCCCTTCCAATTTCTCTCTTTTGTTGGGGATTTGAATTTTGTTCAATTGAGAACATGAAGGCACTAGTGGTGGAGGTAGAGGCGCTGTTGGCTGAAGGGCGGTCGGTTGGGGTGGGTAAGAGGATGAGGAAGGGGGGTTGGTGTTTGGTTTGGGATGGTTAGGGTGGTGAAAGGTTCATCGTGGACTAGATGGGTTGGTGGTGAGGGAGAGAGATGAGAAAGGGACTAGTATGGGCGGAAGGGAATCTGGTAGGGCTTGGTGGTAGGGAAGAGAGGCGAGAAAGGGGACTAGTAAGGGTAGAAGAACAACGGACGTGGAGGGCTCTGGTAGGGCTTGGCGTGGAGGTAGGAGGTGAGTGGTGTGGCAATATCTGGAGGTTGTGTGATGTGTTGTTTGCTTGGAGGGAGGAGCAGGAACAGAGATAGAGTAATCATCAATTGAAACAGTGGAGAGAGAAGCATTAGACCCAAAAGCAGATTTGGCAAAATCATCAGACCCAAAAGCAAATCTAGCGGAAGCAGGGGACATGACGTTGCAAAGCGGTGGTGGCGAAAGTAGATCTGTTGGAGGTGGGTTCAAAAGAACCCAGGTTGCTAAAGAGGAAGATGAGGCTACAAATGATTAGGATGAGGATGGAGGTGAGGAGAAAGATGGATCTGGTGAGGATGGTGAATAGCAAAGGCTAGGCTAGGTGCCTTCAGAGTTAACGGAGAGTAACAAGGGTGTACCGAAGTGTGTAACGGGAGAGGGTGGATGAATCAGTGTCCTATATTATTAAACAAGGGTACAATCACATCTCAGAAATAGAAGGCAAAGAATACATAAGACTGCCTTAGAGCATATGCAATCTAAACTCCTCACACCCTGAGATGCTAACATCAAATTTTTGTGCACTTGGCTATAATGGGGCTAGAGTATTAAAAAAAAAATCAAAAAGATAAATAATTATCAAAACTAAAGAAAACAAAGATTTCAATTAATTACCCCCTCGCTCATCTGGGTTAGTTACGCTTTAATTAAAGGAAAATGGTTGAGTGAATTTTTTTATAACTCTTTTATATAATTTCATTTTTTCAATAATTATCTCTTTTAAATTTATTAAAACTCATACTATTGTAATATTTTATATATTTATTTAATAATATATGAAATTTATATAAAAAATTATTAAAAATATGATATGCGTATCATTACCTTAATTAAATTGAAGCTACGTGACCCCACTTAAATTGAAGTTAAAACATATGAATTACATCCACAAAGATCTTATCAGTACCTTCCCGTTGAAAAGAAAAAACGGTTAAAATAATCGTCACCTGAGGGAGCATCCGTCGTAGATGACGCGTGCCCCGTTGGCGGCAGAGCAGTTCCGGATTCTAATCGAAGCAACTTCAAAGCAAGCCAAGCAGTCAGAAGGGGAGAGGTAGTTCCTGCACTGCACCATGGCGTACGTGGCCCCCTGCTCAGCCGTGGCGAAGTAGTTGTTATTACTGACGAGCTTTTCCCTAAGTTTTAGAAACGTGGCGTTGAGGTTTGTTCCGAAGACCTTAAAGTTGGTGACTTTGTATGGACTGCAGGCTGGGATGAGCAGATTTAGCTGCGGATCTGAATTAGCTCCCTCTTCCATCAACAACAACACCCATATGATCGCCCAGAACAATATCATCACGCATCTTTTCCTGGATTGCTGCATTTTTATTTTTATTTTTTTTGTTCTTGTTTTTCGAATAAGAAGAGACAGAAAAGCTGCCGAGGGGAAGATGTTTGGTTTAGGAGGAGATGGGACTGGGAATTCTGACTTACGGGTGTTTGCCGTGTGATTTCGTTTTGACTTTTTTATTTTTTAAACCAATCTAATTTAAGATGTGGTTGGATACTATTATAAAGTGATGTGATTATAATTGTAGTTGTGATTGTGTTAAATTATATTATAATCGTGATTGAAAGCTATTTTAATGTTTGGTTAATTATTTTTTAAAAATATTATGATGAAATATAATAAATTTTATTAATTATTAATTAA